AAGAGCAGATTTGATGCATTAGATACTAATGACCGAAGACCCAAAGAGTTGTGGGGTGACAATCAGTATCATACAGGAAGAAAGCAAAAGGTCATTAAAGATAAGAAAAGATTAAAATGGATATCAGAGGAAACTGTAAAACTTACTTTCCAAATTAAGAATTAAAAGATCTGAACAAAAAATTTCAAAGGGCAGCTAGAGAAGGCAAATTTAAACAATACAAAGAAATGTGCAAAGAAAACTAAAAGGGAAGAATACACTCAGCATTTCTCAATTTGAAAGAACTGCAGAAAAAAATTCAAGCCTCTACTTGCAAGGAGCTCTGGTTGCGTAGTGGTTATGAATTGGGCTGCTTAACCTCAAGGTTGGCAGTTCGAAACTACCAGCTGTTCCTTGGGAGAAAGATGAAACTTTCTGCTCCTGTGAAGATTTGCAGCCTTGGAAACCCTGTGCAGGGTCACTATAAGTCGGAACTGACTCCACGGTACTTAACAACAACTTGCAATATTGGAAGAATCTATGGGCAAAATACTGAATGATATAGGAAGCATGAGAACATGAGTACACACAATCACTGTACAAAATACAAACAGTTGATGTTCAACCTTTTCAAGAGGTAGCATATGATCAAGATTCAATGATACTGAAGGGAGACGTCTAAGTGCATTGAAAGCATTGTCAAAGAACAAGGCACCGGGAGTTGATGGAATGCGAATTGAACGATTTCAGCCAAGTGAGGCAACACTGGAGGCACTCACCTATGCCAAGAAATTTGGAAGACAGCTACCTGGCCAACTGCCCTGTATTTGCCCAGTTTAAAGAGAGGTGGCCCAATGGAATGCAAAAACACTGGATACTATCATTAATACCACATGCAAGTAGAATTTTGCTAAAAATAATTCAAAAACGGCTGCAGCAGTGCATTGACGGCGAACTGAAAAAGGTTCAAGCAGGATTCTGATGAGGATGTGGAATGAGTGATATCATTGCTGATGTCAGATGGTTCTTAAAAACAGGGAATACCAGAAAGATGTTCTGGACTTAATTCACTTGACAAAGGTTTCCAACTGTGTGGATCATGACACACTATAGACAACATTGCAGAGAATGAGTATTCCAGACCACTTCATTATGCTCAAGAAGAACTTGTATATAGACCAAGAGGCGGGCAGTCTTTCAAACAGAGCAAGGGGAATACTGAATGGTTTAAAATCAAGATAGGTGTGTGCCAGGGTTGTGTTCTTCACCATATTTGTTCAATCTATATGCTGAGCACATAATCTAAGAAGATGGATTATATGAAAAAGAATATGGCATCAGGATTGGGGAAAGTCTCATTAGCAACCTGCAATATTCAGATGATACAGCTTTGCTTGCTAAAAGCAAAGAGAATTTAAAATACTGACTAAGATCAAAGACCACAGCCTTCATATGGGTTACATTTCAATGTAAAGAAAACAAGAAATTTTCACTGCTGAACCAATAACAGGATATATGGAGAAAAGATTGAACTTGTCAAAGACTTCGTTTTGTTTAGATTATCCATCAACACTGAAGGAAGCAGTAGTCAAGAAATCAAATGACTCTGTTTTTTGCATTAGACAAATCTGCACAAGACCTCATTAAAGTGATAAAGAACAAATCAGTTTGGACGGCTAAGGTACACCTGACCAAAGCCATGGTATTTTCAGTTACTTCCTGTGCATGTGAAAGTTGGACAGTGAATAAGGAAGACCATAGAAGAGTTGATGCATCTGAGTTATGGTGTTAGGGAATATTAAAAATGCCACAGGCTTCCAGAAAAACAAAATTTGTGTTGGAAGAAGTACAGCCAGTATGCTCCTCATAATCCAGAATGGCTGTACTTTGTCTGTTATACTTCAGACATATCATTCTGAGTAAATGGAGGGTAACTGAAGAAGAAGAAGATCCCCCAGGAGATGGACTGGCACGGTGACAACCATGAATTCAAGTGGAACAGTGATGCTGAGGTTGGCGCAGCTCTGTGCAGTGGTTTGTTGTGTTGTGTGTAAGGTCACTGTGAGTTGGGACTGACTTGACAACACCTAACAAGAAGAAGAAAGATGTCTTAAGTAGCCCTGGTGACACACTGGCTAAGGCACTGAGCTGCTGTCCAGGAGGTCGGGGGTTAGAATCCATAGTGACTCCAAAGGAGAAAAGATGTCATAGTCTTCTTCCATAAGATGACGGTCTTGGAAACACTATGGTATTTGTAAGTGCTGTTGAGTCAGTTTCAACCTTGTATCAGGTTTCTAAGGAGTGGCAGGTGACCTTGAACCGCCAACCTTGCAGTTCAAGCTGCCTTTGCAGTCCAGCGCATTAAGCCACAGCACCACACCAGGGCAGCTTTATTCTACCTTGTAGCAGTACTGTAAGTCCAGTTTGTTTCACAGCATGTTTTTTGTTGTTTTTTGGTAAAAGATGTTACTGTGAAAAAGTTGATGTGTAATATCGTAAATAGAGATTAAAATAGAAAGCTCCATTGATAGAGAAAAGATTAAAAATTGAAATCAATTTATAATTAAAACTGAGTAAATTCTAAAAGAGGATACTTCTTTAACCTGGTTATGAGATAATTTTTTTTTAAAGAAGAACAAAGACAGCCCTGACCAGACAGTGTCATAAATGAAGAAACTTTAGAAATGTTCCTTGTAGAATCAGAAATAAGACAAGCATGCCATTTAAAGACCTCATTTAAAGGAACACATTTTTTAAAAGTGTTCAAGAACAAAGATTCCAGTTTAAGGACTCGGGTGCTCCTGTCCAAAGCCGTAGTGTTTCAGTCATTTCATATGCATGTAAAAGGTGGGCAATGAATAAGGAAGTCCAGAAAAGAATCAATGCATTTGAATTATGATGTTGGAGAAGAATATTGAAAATACCATAGACGGCCAGAAGAACAAATAAAGCTTATCTTGGAAGACGTACAACCAGAATGCACCTGAGGAGCCAGAATGGTGAAACTTCATCACTCATGCTCAGACGTTACCAGGAAGGACCAGTCCCTGGAGAAAGAAGGCCAAAGTGTAGGATGACCCCCAACAAGATGGATTGACGCAGTGGGCTGAAGCCTAACATCAGCTGTGAGGAGGATGCAGGACTGGGCAGTGTCCACTGTTGTGCATAGGAATGCTGTAGGCAGAACCGACTCAGTGGCCCATTGCCACCACATGTAACCAACATTAGCCAGCCACAATGGGACAAAAGAAACTGAGAGCACAGGTGATGCAGAAGATGAACTAAAACATGGAAGAGTTACGTGGAAACCCACAACAACCTTAGACAAATTGCTAAGGATTCCTGGAATTTAATAAGGTTGTGGTATAAAGGTGAACATACAAAGATCAGCTGCACCAAGACATAGAAAATGTCTCCTGTTTCCAGTAGACTCGAAGTCTGTTGAGTGTCAGGACACAATCTAACAAAAATTCTAGAGCTTTCCTGGGAGAATGACGAACTGAATTAAGAGGTGTGAGGGAGACCAATTCATAGGGAGATTAGATATTGTTCCTATTTCTGAGTAGAGTGACACTATGAGGTGGGGGGAGTAGCATTGGCGACATGGAGCTGGGAGCATTCTGGGCTTGTGAACTCAGCAAGTAGGGACTGCTCATAGGATGATTCCCTGTAGGGTGGGGAGAATGAGAGTAGCTTCCCCCAGATGGGAGACGTTGGAGAGGCCGTGGAATGGAGGAGTTTGGAGCTGGGACGTCAAGGTGACTGTAAATCTGTGTGTGGTGGTTAAAAGCAGAAAGGCAGCACAGGGCAGCCAGCAGAAGTCAGGGTCTTCACCAGGTGACCAAGTGTGACGGACAGTGAGGTGCAGACAACCAGAGCTGGTGCTCCAGTGAAAGACGGTTTCCCAGAGCACCTGGTAGGTTTGAACTTTTGACTTTGTGGGCACCAGTTCCATGCTTATCCTGCAGCATCACACCAAGGCTCTATGGCTCCCTTCAAACATGAGTTCTTCACATTCGTCTCCTATTTCAAGCCAACCTTTCAGTTTTGTTTTCTAGTTCGATAGGGGTTGCATTTCTGTTTTATATTGTCTCATTCTTCTCTGTCTGTGTGTGTTTATTTTGTATATAGTTCTGTAAAGTGCTGTTTCCACTGTGATGTCTTTGTACCCATCTAAGCCTCCTCCTGGAAGGCTGCCTTCCTGTATAATGAGTGGTCTTTTCTTGTGGACCCTCCCAGGGTTTTTAGCTGAACTGTTTTCCTGTTAGCTTCTGCTAAGTGAAAGGGGCCCCACTGACCTGCCATGAAGCCCACTTCTCACTCCCTACCCCCTCGGGCTGCCCATATCCAGCCACAGGTTTAGCTTCCCAGCCCTTTGCGTTTGTGCCCCTTTTCCAGCTGGGGGCTTTTCCTTTCCACTTTCTTCAGCAATTTCCTGCCTTTCCTGCTTGTCCAAGGAGAGACTCCAGGCTGTTGAGTGCAGGATCTAATTTGAGTTGGAGAGCACCCCAGAGCATTGGGTTCGCGATGCTGGGAGTAGGGTCACCTCTTCTGGAGACTGCAGATGACCCTCTGCCTTTCCTGGTGGGTTTGTGTAGCTCCAGTGGGCTCTTGAGGAGTCAGCCTGTCACGTCCTATCTTCCCTTGTCTGGATGAGAGTGTGGCCGGTGGGCGGGAAGCCAGTGAGCATTGGAGACAGGCAGAGACACTGACAGGTTCCTCTTGTGTGTAGACTGTTGTTGTTGTTAGGTGCCATCGAGTGGGTACCGACTCATAGCGACCTTATGCACAGCAGAACAAAACACTGCCCGATCCTGGGCCCACCTCACTATTGTCGCCACACTTAAGCCCATTGATGCTGTAACTTTAGCGGCGGCATTATTTCAGCCTCCCTTAAGATGTCAGAGTTCAGCTCAGCTCTGTGGAATGGGTTTTAATGTGTGTTGCTGGATACAGATACAAGACTAGCCCCAGAATGGGGATAGAATGCATGGAAGCTAATCCTTTGTGTTTTTTTTTAGATTCATGAAGAAGAGGTAACTCTGAAGCTTAATCCAGAGTTTGAGCAAGCATATAACTTTGAGCCTATGGATGTGGAGTTTACGTATAACAGGTAACACTGATTAGGAACTGTGATCCGATTGCTGCTCTCTCTGGGCCAGTGTCCCTTCAGTAAGCTCAGTAGTGAAGGGAAATGCCGCATCAATGTACCCAGGCCTCCTGGTTAGAGCTCCATTACCAGACATGTGTGTAACATACGAAGGTGCAAACATCTGTATGTTCTTCCTTTGGGGGACTTTGAGCCCGGAGTGTCTATCCATCCACTGATGTGAAGCCAGCCCAGTGAGTCCGTTACCCAGACTTCCGTCTCCCTCCTTTCTTCTCCAGGCTCCAGTCAGTAACCAGAGTTGTGTGTGTTGGGGGGGGGGGGGGAGGTGAGTGTGCACTGTTTGCTCAAAAGTCTGTCAGTTCTCCAGTGCTTAACTTTTGCACCTTCGTAGCAAATCAGTTGAGCTCATGTGTGGATGTCTGGTTCTGAGCTCTCTTCTTTCCATTGATAACATTTGTCTGCGTTGGCATCAATACCAGTCTTGATTCCTGTCCCTTTATAATAAGTCTTGAAATCAGGTAGCGTAAGACCTCCAACTTTGTTCTTTCTCAAAGGTGTTTTGGCTCTTTTTGTATTCCCATCTGGATTTAGATTCAGCCTGTGCATTTCTACAAAAACCTGCTGGGACTTCGATTGGGATTGCATTGAATCTAGGCAGAATTAACCTCTTAACAATATTGACTTTTTTTTAAACCCTTGAAAATGCTATATTATATTCCATTTATTTAGGTCATCTTTTCATTTCTCTGAGCAAGATTTCATACTTTGTACTGTACAGGTTTTGCATATCTTTGGTCAGATTTATACCTAACTATTGAAAAGGAATGGTGTTGCATTCATCCTCAAAAAGAACATATCCAGATCAGTCATGAGATACAACATTGTAAGTGATAGGGTAATATCCATGCACCTACAGGGAAGCCCAGTTAATACCACTATTATTCAAATTTATGCACCAACCACTAAAGCTAGTGAGGATGAAATTGAAGAATTCTACCACCTTCTTCAATCTGAAATCGATCAAAAATGCAATCAAGATGTATTGCTCATTACTGGTGATTGGAATGCAAAGGTTGGGAGCAAAGAGGAAGGACCAGTAGTTGGAAAAC